AGGAACTCCCCCTCAGATCACGCTAATGCTGCCAATTTTGAACATGGAACACATGAAGTAGCATGAAGCTCACTTGTACATGTGCGTGTTTCTCCTTACATAAATATCCATCACTCTCTGTATTATTAAGTGTGTTATTGGCCACCCAACCCAGCATAATTCTTGTTCCCTCCACCACCTTCCCTGGAAGTGTTGCTCTGGTTTTCACCCAAGGCTGCACTTAGCCTGCAAGATGGGTACCTGAAGGCTGCAGCCTCTAGGAGAAATAAAGCTCCCTTCTCAAATAATATGAACCTCATCATTCTTCAGTTGACAGTTCAAAGGCCTCCTGCTGCCCAGACCCACACCCCAAAGGGACCCACATCTGGCACTGCCTTCTAATGGGACGTGCCGCTTTGATTCCTGAGTCTAGGGTTCTTGGGACAAACTGGTTGGCTTCTTACTGGTGTCTCCTTCTGAGGCACCATGCCACAATCTCCATCCTTCCTGCAGGCTGTGTGCCACTGTCCACCTACTCTCAGCTTACATGTTTGTCATCGGGCTCCAGATGTCTGACTCTCAACAAAGAATTTGGATTCCTGCTTTTTGTTTTTCTGTTGTTTTGAGATGACTTTTAAAGGAGAACTGTTTTTATTCTGCCATCGTGAAAGTGGAGTTCTGTTTAAGTGATATTTTAAAGTTTTTGCATGTAGTTGTTCCGACAGCCTTCTAAATGACAGCACACACTGGAACTCCCACTTCCACACAACTGCACTGCTCAATGGCAGGACGAGCAGAGGTGCTGTGCACAGCCGCTTTTAGCCAGCTCCGCCACACCTCTGCTTAACACCTCTCAGACAAACTGATATGGAGTTCTAAATCGAAGAGTTACTAAGTACTGTTTCCATGTTCTTCACTTTAAAAGAAGATGAGTGGAAAATTTTATGATTTGTATTTCTCTCAAGGAAACCACTAATACGTAACCACCTCACTCTAAACCACTTCGGTGTGGTTCTCATCACATTATTATGTTTTCCCGAAAGGTATTATTATAAAAACACAAAAAGGTTTCTGAACCACTGTTAAAACACTTTTCTGGAAAACAGAGAACATAGAGAATAACACTGTGATGGTTACTTTTCTGTGTCAACTTGACAGGGCCACAGAGGACCTGAATTAAACATTATTTCTGGGTCTGTCTGTGAGGTGTTTCCAGATGAGATTAGCATTTGCATGGTAGGTGCAGTAAAGCAGATGCCCTTCCAAGGCAAGTGGGTATCAACCAACCCACTAGCCTGAACAGAATAGAAGGCAGAGGAAGAAGAACGATCTGCCCCTGCCTGTCTGCCTGTCGGAACAGGGACCTTGGTCTTCTCTAGCTTGGAACTGGGATTTATACAGTAAGCTCCCCTTGGCATGTGCTGAGTCTCTGGTCTCCTGGCCTGGACTGGAGTTACAGCATGGCTCTACTGGGTCTCAAGCCTGCAAATGGCAGATACTGGGCCTCCCGGCCTCCACAGTCACATGAGCCAATATAGCTTGTTGGTTCTGTCTCTCTGGAAAACCCTGGCTACTACATACACAAAGTCTACTACATGGTTCAGAATAACAGCATCCTTCTTTAATGAGATATGGAATTCTGGTTCTTTGGAACTGTATACCTACACTATGAAGAAAATTCACAAATTAGAATATATATATGTTTATTTTCTACAAACTAAACAAATACACTAATTACTGAAAAAGAAGTTTAATCTTGTGTAGATATGAATTTCCTATTTACTTTAGTGAGTAGAAACATGAAGTAGTAGGTTAGATAAAAAAGCAATGTGAAGTAAAATTCAAAAAAATAACATATGGGCTTTTCAGTCAAAGATATCTAAATTCTAATCTACGCTCTTGACTTAGGAGCTTTGTGATTCAGTAGATAAGAAAGTCCTGGCGGGTGCGGTGGGCTCACGCCTGTAATCTAGCACTCTGGAGGCGAGGTGGGGATGCTCAAGGCCAGGAGTTCAAAAGCCTGAACAAGAGCAAGACCCATCTGTACTAAAAAATAGAAAGAGATTAATTGGTCAAGTAAAATATATAGAAAAATTAGCCAGGCATGGTGGCGCATGCTATACTCCCAGCTACTCAGGAGGCTGAGCAGGAGGATTGCTTGAGCCCAGGAGTTTGAGGTTGCTTGGAGCTAGGATGACGCCACGGCACTCTAGCCCAGGCAACAGAGTAAAACTGTCTCAAAAAAAAAAGAAAGTCTTAATTAAAAAAAAGTAAAAAAAACACAAAAAACCCAGGGAGGCTATGTGCATGGAAGGGAGGGAGTCCAGGCCATCAGTCGAAGCTGAAGCTGTAGGCTCCCGCTTACGCAAGCACAGGGTGAGGCGATTTTTGCTGTGGGTCCTGTCTGCCTGAGGAAGAGTAAGTACACAATTCAGTAGGCATCAGGGATGATTGAGAAACAAGATTATAACCACAGCAATAAACTCGGTAAAATTTAGAATACAATTTATAGCAAGCTGGGGTACCTGAATATGACAAATTCTTTGCCTAGTCTGAAACTAGTGAAGATTTCTCTCATTAAAGAGCTCCTACTTCAATTGGTGGGAGAAACAAGGACAGATGAAAAGTGTGGGCAACAGACAGCTAATGTGGTACAAAACTATGTGCAAATGTACTCTCATGGATTCACTATTCGTGGTTTACGGAGCAGACTTTAAGCTTCCATGATTCAAAGTAGGATCACTACTTAAATGCAGCCTGCTCTGTTTGTACTAATAATTTCATTTTCCAGTTGATCTAATATACTGCACTGTATTAGTATTTCCAAGTATCCTCACTTACCTGCATTAACATATAGTAGATTCAGCCATGCCATGAGCTGCTCCAACATACTGCTTCCTGTGCCACTGATATAACAGGGGGCAGCGCTCAGTTTTTCTTTCTTCTCTTGATAAAGTCTTACCCGATTCAATAATAGCATTTACTACCTAGAAACAAAAGACAGCTAAATCTAAAAAACTTACATGCATCCTGCTCTAGTTAATTAAAAACAACAAAATATGTCTCTCTCTCTTCTCTAATATATAATATATATAGATATCTCTCTCTCTCTCTATATATATATATATATCGAGAGAGAGAGAGAGAGAGAGATTACTTAATTTAAAACTCTTTAGAGTTAGCAGCTAACATACCATGTTTCCCTGAAAATAAGACCTACCCATAAAATAAGCCCTAGCAGGATTTTTAAGCATTTGCACAATATAAGCCCTACCCCAAAAATAAGACCTAGTGATGGGTGTGGCTACACAGTGCATCTGCACAACCCATGCATTTGATTGCGGAGCGGTAAAGAAGACAAGCAGCCCTTCTCATCTGCACCATGAGAGCTCTATTGCTTGACATAAGAGGGCCAATGGTTCTAAAGGAAATAGAGTCACAAGAAATTCAGGATGGAATTCGGGGTTTGGAGAGTTATGATGACATTCCAGAAGAAGATGACTTAACTATATTTGAATAAATGTAGATTGTTGTACTGTAGTTAAAAAAAAAAACACATCCCCTGAAAATAAGCCCTTGGGTGTCTTCTTGAGAAAAAATAAATATAAGACCCTATTGTATTTTTGGGGAAACGTGGTAGTTATCTTCACTTTATAAATTAATAAATGTAGGCAGAGAGCAATCAGAAGACAATATAAGACTAGAAAAAGATAAGTCTAAGAAATCAAGAGTTCTTTATATGAAAAAGCTACTCGAATCTAGAAAAATTTCCTACAAAAACTGTTCTGAACTTGTAGTTGCTTTGTACCTGCAATGCTTTCCTCCTAACAACTGGCAAGCACATCTTCCAGGAAAGGCTGGAGGAACTGGCTTTATTTATGAGAGGCTGAGGATTTTAGTTAGATCAAAATAATATCACGTCTGGAATGACTACATGGCAAAGACACTAATTGTTTCCTCATTTCCGTTCTCCTCTCAACCTTTTGGTAAAGTACTCGAAGTTTTGGCTGGGCATCTGGCCTCCTAGCCAGAGACAGCTGACCATGGTCATTGGACTAAGTTCTGGCAATGGGATGTGAGTACAAGTGAGGTGGGCAATTTGTAGATGAAGCCTTTAACAAGGAAGCAATTACCCTCCACTCTTGCTTCTCCCCTTCCTTAGGCTGGGGTGCTAAGTGAGCTCTGGTCATGCAAACAGGGTGCCCCCAGGAAATGGTAGGACAGGACAGAAGAAGCCTGTCCCAGTCACAGCAGCCAGGACTGCAAGTCAGTTTAGGTATCTCATGAAAGAGAAATACACATTTTAACTTTCTGAAGCTACTGTTGTTTGGTTCCAGTAAAAATGGCTGAATTGATAAAGAATGAAGAGTACAGACTTTTTGTTAATGTTCCCAGAAAAAGACAAGGGCTATCGTTTACTTTTTAAGAGATGCTTTACTTTGTACTTGGATGTCGAATGTGAATAATGTCGAGTGGATAATGAGAAAAAAGCAAGCAAGTGCAAAGGGTTAAAAAATTACTGCTACCTAGAATAAGAGTCTAGCTATTAAAATAACTCTATGCTAACAGGAATGGCAGAGATGAGAGTATGCCCACAGTTGTCAGCAACCCCACATACCTCTTTAATAGCTGACTCACACACGGTGCCTGGCCCGATCTCTATGTTCAGGTACATTAAGGCATATAGATAACCTGCCCGTCCATACAGCAGCTCATCAGGAAGGTCTGACTCTTGGCAGACAATGGCCCTCTGGAGCTGCAAAAGTCTAACCAACAAGAAAAATTTTTGTTTTCTCAGAGAATGTCTAAATTACTTCTTCCTGAAACACTAAGTAACCCCATCACATTAGGAATTACCTGTCATTCATTTTTAAATTTAAAACTATGATTTCAAAAAATAACCAAACACTTAAGAAAATAACAAAAATTTCTCTGTATAACTAATTCTTCTCTGGAATGTCAAAATTAAAAATAAAACATCTTTCTGTTCAAAATTTCTACTTTTTAAAAATCTATTCTAAACCAAAAATAGAAGATATTTCATTTTTAAATCCAGAATTAAAAGAAAGCAATTTAAAATCTACTATAAATAAAATGGTAGCCAATGCTTAGGAGTTAGCTTGTGATTCTTTTAACTAACATTAATGCACTACCATATTCTGCCAGACCCCACGAGTAAGCCCTGGTTTCTGCTTCTTCAAGGAAGAATATAAACCAATAGGTGTAATAAAAGCTAATATTCCCTAATTGTTTCATCATTGGCATATCTAATCAGTTACTTAAAGGCTGAACCTAAGATTAATTTAGTTATTATAGTGGATCTAAGGCATGTAAGCTATTATAGTTTTCATGCTCTAAAGACAACCAAAAATTACTTAGAAAAAATGATTAAAGTAATTCAAAGAAACATATTTACTCCTCCCAAAATCAAGAAACACACATGCTTGGATAGAAAGAGAGCATAAGATTCCACCATTATGCTCAAGATTAATATACAAACTTCTTCACTTTTTGGAGAGATCTGTTTGCAATAGGGGATGAATTAAAATATAATTTCCTTTTTTAGTATCTTTCTACAGCAAGAGCTTCAACTAAGAATTGTGAGAAAATAGTTCCAGTTTAAAAACTCACTTTGTGATGCATTCCTGGGACTCACAGTCACTTTTGAGCTTATGATATATCACAGCTCCCACAGCAAGGGGCCCGGCATCTCCGCAGAGGAAGGTGACCCTGCGGCCGTTCAGATTCCTAAGTGTTCTCTTTACGTAATCCAGGGACCGGAGCAGGTAGGTCTGGTCACATGTGACCCGGTACAACTGCAGGTACAGAAGGGCTATGCCTGGAATAGTTCCCCACCCCAAAAGAAAAGCATTATTACCTTTTTACCTTCCAGACATTATTTTGTAATTATATGAAATATCTTCTTCTACATAAATGCTATAGTTCTGAAAGGGCAATGTAAAAAAAATTAGATATCATACATTTCTTAAAAATGGAAAAAAAAAAACAAGACTGAGAAATCAGAGTGGAAAGAACATAAAACAAATGTAAACATATTCTCTTGCTAATTGTCCTGGCACAGTGATTTAATACCTCCTACTCTTAGACAAGGAAAGATACGCCACTTCCCACTCATTCCCAGTTAATTTTCATTCATTCCAAGGTTTTATCCATTCACCTTTGTATCTTAAGCTAATTTGGGTCCTTTTTACTTCTCATATAATCATATCTGGCTATGTTATTCCAAATTAAATTATTACTTTTCTGGATTTTATACCCTCTTCTTCCTAATTTTTCTATTTTCACAATTTTTCAATTTTCTTTACCAAACAACCCTTCCGAAGGACCAACCAACCAGGGAATGAAACATTTATTAAACACCAACACGATGTAGAGTAAGGTAGCCAGTGCAGAGGGTATAGTTTACCACCTATCCAACCTTCTTATTTCAGATTAAAGAATAGACCCAGATCTTCAAACGAATCAGAAAAGGGTCTTTGTCTGAAAATCTCTGGAGGAGGACCTCTATGGCTTCTTAAAAGGAGCACCTTCCTATGCTCAGATTCAAGGAGTCAACATGATAGCTAAGTAAAAATTGAATCAGTATAAATATATACTTTAATAAAGCATATTATAGAAAAAAGTACTGACAGAGGTGACATGATGGTGAAAAAGACAAAACATTTCTTTAAAGTTTGAATTGAGGTTCTTCAATGTCCTAGTCTTTGTCTAACATCCTACTCTGACTTTTATTATTTTTTATTTTGCTTTTTAAATTTCTCTAAATATCTAGCTTCTTCTTTCTTTAATCCTTCTATTCAAGATATGCCACTTCTCTTTCAAATTAATCCTTAACACCTTTTCAAGTTTTTATTGAGAAGTCCTTCTTTCATCATTATTCATTTCTTTAAAGATGTTGAGTCAACAGATCTGAAAGTAGCATATTTGGAGGCTCTGAAAAAAAATTCTTTATGAATTACTTATCACCTCCTTGAGTGCATGTTTTCTCTATTTGAAAAATGTAAATTATAAATGTACAGAAAACCAACAGTAAATGTTAAATATCTATAAATTTCAAACATATAAAGCCTTTCACTATAAAAGGCTTACAAACAAGTACTCCCTCATTGATTCAGAAATCTCTAAAAACAGGATGCTGATCTGGTTAACCTGTGAACTCAAAAAACTGTAACTCTGTATATTTAATGTTTAAGTATTTTTAAGTAAATGATGACATGTAAAGAAAAAAAAGTCATTCTCATAGTCCTGGAGGCTAGGGGGAAAAACGGTCACCATGCTTGGTAATTTTTTGGTTGAAAGGTGGACATGTTGCTCTAGGTATCAGGCACTGCGGTGAACAGGCCTTTAGGGAGGAATAAGTGTGGGGGAGGAAGCGCTCTATAGTTCTGATTAGGTCTTACCGTCTTTGGGGAGCCTGTGCCCCTGGACTGTGCCCCTCATGCTAGGTGGACAGGATGGCTAGAGAGAGCTGGAGTTACTGCCCTTCCCAGCATGGAAGGCTGGAGCCAGCTGCTGGCACCTCCCTCTCCAGGCCAGTGAGCTCTGGAGGGCAGTCCTGGTTAAGAAAGAACTTGCTGTGCCCTATTTCTAAAGGGTTTTTTCCACCTCCCCCTACAGGCAGCAGCACTGGGGAGGGGGATTTTTCTCCGATATTCAGATACTCACTGTGAGGACCTGGTAGACCTCTCAAAGGTAAAACTCACAGAAGTGTGGGAGCCTCACTATGACTGGGTCCCCGGCGGTTTTGTTTTTGTTTTTAAACTTAAAATCTGAATACCTTGTATTGTCTGCTCAACCTCTGGGAGTTTTTAATCTCTCAGACTTATCAGTGCTAAGCTGCTAGCAATTCATCGTTACAGTTTTTCACCCTGGCACCGGTTTCTGCAGTGGCTTCTGCTCTGTTCGTTGTACACTCACGTGCCACATAATGACATTTCCAATGGCAATGAACCACATATACATGGTCCCATAAGATTTAATACTGTAATCACACCAGTCCAATCTGTCTCAACTTTATGTAACAAAGTTATGATCTATTTTTCAGTTGCCATGGACCCCCAGGTTGGATGGAGATCACCTAACTTGAGCATGCCCAGGTGGAGTGAGCATGTAGCCATAGGTAGAACTTGAGTGCTCGGATCCAGCAGTGGGAATGAATTATGAAGCAGATGTGCATGACAGGGTTTGGGATCCAACCAGACAGAGCCTTGGCGTCACCCCACAGCATGGTCCAGTCACAATTGCCTCCTGGCATCACCCCTCTGTAAGATCCCATCAGATCACACCTCATTACCCTAGGTTTATAAAACCTGGTCCAGTCCTAGCTTGGGAGACACAGTTGAGCATTTTTTCCCATCTCCTTGCCAGTCTACTTACAATAAAGCTTTTCTTTTCTCAAAGGCTGCACCATGGTGTTGGCTTCTATGTGCATTAGGCACAGACCTCACTGACTACTTGGTAACAATACTGTATTTTTATCATATCTTTTGTATGTTTAGACACACAAATCCTCGCCATTGTGTTACAACTGCCTACAGTGTTCAGCACAGTACCATGCTGTGCAGGGTTGTAGCCTAGGGGCAACAATCTATACCACATGGCCTAGGTGTGCAGTAGGCCATGCTAGCCAGGTTCATGTAAGTGCACCCTGTGATGTTAGCACAATGATAAAGTAACCAAAATGTTTGTACCCCCATAATATTCTGAAAATAAACTGAATAATAAATTATATATTTTTAAAAAATCACCTTACAACACATTCCTCAGAGTGTCTCCCAGTTGTCAATGCATGACTAATTCTCTGCATCCCCCTATCTGTCTCTCCAATTTCTGGTGCAGCAGTTTGCCCTATGACCTCACTTCTCTGATGGATCTAAGACTGCTGATTTCTCAGTTTGTTCTACTTTTTACTTACTGTCACAATGGAGTGGTGACTTCTAAGTTCCTTATATGCTGGACCAGAAAACTAAAGTCCCTCTTCAATTTGTTTTTGTTGCTTTTTCTTTGCTTTTTTCCCCCCTTTAACAATTTGATTTAGTCATTTATTCATTCAGCAAATATTGAAACTTTCCTAGACAATGAGAATGCTATACTCTTTATGGCACTGCTGAGCTTTCTGTGGTCTTAGTTCTTTCTTTGCTCCTATGGTCTTCATTTCTGAAATGATTTTGTCTTTTCCTTCAATTTCTTTTCTTGGTTCTGTCAGTTATTATTTCATGTGCTTGTGTGGTCTGGCAGTCTCTTTTCCAAGTTCCTTTATGTCTGTTTGTGAACTTACTGCTTAACTAAGTTAAAAACCAAGACTGAAAGTGCTGCCATTTTCTTATACATTGTGGCATTTTCCTGGTGTGTTTTCTCCTTCCATTGAGAAATTGTGATTTTCTTTTCCTTATGTCATGGATGCAATAAATCTTTTCTTAAAATTTGAATATATAGGATTTTTCTGGATCAACTATTAACAGGAAGAACCCCTAGAAGAGGAAAAAGGTTTGAGCAGCTTTCCCAGTTCACAAGGGAGGGTATCCTCTTCTTGCTAAATGATAAACAAGTTTAATATCTGATAACCTTTGATGGCAGATTCCCTTTGACTTTCAAATCTTTTCTTGTGTCAGGAGAGTGTCCATCACTGCTGCTCCCTCCCTTCCATGCACTGCTAGCCAGTGTCACCAGGGTGCCACTGCTGCCTACAAGTTAGCCCCTCTTCTTTAGAAGCAGTGCCTTTTTCAAAGGTCCATAACCTCTGTTCCCTGTGAGCTTTCCGTGCCTTCTACCCTTGCCTCTCCCTGCACTACCTGCCCACTTTGCGCTCAGATACACTCACAAAGTTCTCACTGAGGTTGTGGCCCACTCCTTATGCCTCTCCCAGATCCTTTGGCTTTTCTCACCTGCTACACTACTGTGGATGCTGTTTGTTTTTCACCTAACATTATTTGTATGTTTTCTCTGTCTCATAGTTTTGCTGAAGGAGTAAGTTGTGGGCGCTTCATTTATTTTTCTTCCTATATTGTATAGTTTTAGGGAGGGTATGGGTTTAAGCAGATTCAGTACTGCTACCTGAACCCCAAGGCCCTAAGTATTACTTTAAATCATTGAAACCAAATACCTCCATGACAGTTCTACCAGTGATTCCAAAAGATGGCAATAGATAGGGATTTTTAAAAAAATAGAGGCAGGGTCTCACTCTGTCCCCCAGGCTGGAGTACAGTGGCACAATCACAGCTCATTGTAAACTTGAACTCCTAGCCCCAAGCAGTCCTCCCACTTCAGACCCCACAGTAGCCAGGACTACAGGTGCGCACCACCATGCCTGGCTATTTTTTTATTTTTCATAGAGATCAGGTTTCACTACATTGCCCAGGCTGGTCTCAAATTCCTGGCCTAAAGTCATCCTCCCACCTCAGCCTCCCAAAGTGTTGGGTTTACAGATGTGAGCCACCATGTCTGGTTCAGATGGTGATTTTTAAGAAATACTGATTTCTGGACTCCATCTCCAGAGTTCCTAATATAATTATTCTGGGCTAGAGGCTGAGAATCTTAGTTTATTCTAAAGCTCTCTAGATGATTCTGATGCATAGCCAGTTTAATGCCTAACCCCCAGGGGATTAAAAACCCTTACAACAAGAGGAAATACTGCAAATAAAAGACTTTTTAGGGGAAACCTGTGCTACTAAGAGCTATGTTATTTTCCTTCTAAGATACTGTTTGTATTTTACTTGAGGCTAACCACAATTATCTAATTTTAGATTTAGAATACATTTCTTTGGTCCTATAAGTGAACTAGCTCTATGTCTTTCCAGGTTTATAAGTTTGAAGTTTGAAATAAGTTTGTAAGTTTGAAATATTTAATGTCACTAAGTACATGTTATATGCATAATAGGCAAATAATAAATGAATATAAATACAACATTGTAAGGACCATAATGTTTGGTTTGTGGTGACTTTTAACATGTATACTTGTGTCTATATGCTGTTTATGAAGTAAACAGCATATAGACACAAGTATACATGCTATATATTTCTTGCTATAAAAATTTAGCAAGAAATGGCTCTAAATTAAATTGTCATTAGGGCTTTAACCAGACTTCAGAGTAATCCCTGAGAAGAAGATCTGTCTTTCATGGCATTAATACTCCCCAGATAGCTATTACGATGTCCTGGTTATCTGGTAAAATAGTAAGAATGTAAAAATTAGTTAATAAGGCAAGTTAATTTTGATATTATGTTTTTTGATGTGAAGTATATTACTAGTTAACTGCTATCATTAAAATAAAAGCTTTATGTATACAAATGAGTACAAGTAGTAGGTTAAATAGTTTATGTAAGAGACCAGAGAACCCATTCAACCACAACTTATCACAAAGACAAAAGCAACAAAAAACTTTTTAAAAATTGAACCTAAGGCCAGTTTGTTCTTATTATACATTTTATTTATTTATTTAGAGACAAGTCTCACTCTGTTACCCGGGCTAGAGTGCCGTGGTGTCAGCCTAGCTCACAGCAACCTCAAACTCCTGGGCTCAAGCAATCCTTCTGTCTCAGCCTCCCAAGTAGCTGGGACTACACACATGTGCCACCATGCCTGGCTAATTTTTTCTATATACTTTTAGTTGTCCAGCTAACTTCTTTCATTTTTAGTAGAGATGGGGTCTCGCTCTTGCTCAGGCTGGTCTCAAACTCCTTAGCTCAAATGATCCTCCCGCCTCAGCCTCCTAGAGTGTTAGGATTACAGGTGTGAGCCACTGTGCCCGGCCTCTTATTATACATTTTCACAGACAGCTATATATTATGTTAAATAAATAATGTTATAAAAATATGACATACTACATATTAAAGTTCAATCTTTGGGCAAAAAGCATTTCTTTAGAAATAAAATTAAAGACATAGATTGAGATTTCATTTAAAAGGCATAAAATTTTAACATTTTAAAGGAAAGAAAATTTCAAAGCCAAGTCTTATATCTCATAATCTAAGAATAAAACACATCAGTTACTTATATCTGTATTCTTACCTGTCCAGCCGGTGTAGGCAGAGCAATCATGTGGATCTGCTGTCTTCAGCCCTTCTTCCATCTGCTGCAGAAGATCTTTGATTTTGGTCTGGATCCGCCTTGTGAAATTATGAATGATCTGAGAACCAAAAGAAGAGATAATTTAAATTGCACAATAAGCCAATTTGTAAGAAACACTTTAACAGTCTAAGTTGTATGAACATAACACAAAAAAGTTATTTTACCTGGCCCATCTCAATGCTTCATTCGCTGAAGTCTACTTTTTAAAAATTTGTTTTGTTTTTTTTTGTAGAGTTGGTGTCTCGCTATGTTGTCCAAGCTGATCTTGAACTCCTAAACTTAAGAAATCCTCCTGCCTCAGCTTTCCAAAGTGTTGGGATTACAGGTGTTAGCCACCATGCCTAGACTACTTTGGCTTTTATAAGGATTTTTTTAAATGAGATAATGCCCTACATCGACTGTAACTCATAAGTAGAATTACAAAAAATGACTTGCAGAAACCAAAGAAAAAAGCCATAAAAAAGATGGATATGACTATAAAAACATTTTAACTTCTATAAGATAAAGAACATAAGAAAGATGGTTTAAAAGCTACTGACAAAGGGGAAATATTTCCAATATATCATAAATCAACAGAACACAATACAGAAACAGACCCCAAATTTTTAATGCACGTCATACAGAAGAAATATAAAATGATAAGCATATGCAAAAAATGTTCACTTAGTGATTAATGAAATGCAGCTAAAAACAAGTACCATGGTTTTCCTATTAGATTAATAAAGAATAAAACATTTTAAAAGTATTATGACCCAAGGCTACTAAGAGCAAAGAAAATAGGTATTTATTATTATTGCTGGTAATCCCAAGAGAAATATGCAATAGCCTTAGCTGCTCAGAGGATACAATACATATCCAACAGCTTTCACAATCCATTTGCAGTTAGTAATATAAAACCTTGAAACCACAGGGCTCATCTTCCACCCTTAGTCCTTTCTCTCACAGTTGGTATAAATCCTACAACATAATGCTGCAACTTTTGCTTAAAAATAAGCAAATTAAGAGATAAAAAGGCAGAGAGAAAAAAACAATTTCTGCATATGCCCAGATAGCTACCATTTTCAAAGTTCATCCTCATTCTTTTCTTAGAATATTAGTTTCTATCAGGTATCATCTCACTTGCCATTTCTTGTGGTGCTGGCCTGTTACAGCAAACCAGGCTGGGGAACAAATGAGCGCCACGCGGGAGTGCTGCAAAACTGGCTTTTATTACCCTGGCAGGCTCAGAGGGGTCTCCCCTCCAAATTCTGAGAAAAATGGGGTCTAAGCATGGGGGCTTTTATACGTTACAGAAGCAAATGGTTACAAAGTCTGCTCAAGCTCGTGGTCTAGTCATGTGTTATTCTATAGTTGCTTAGTCATGTTATTTTGCAGTTATGTACAAGATTGAAAACTAGTCAAAGGTCACTCTTTAGTTTCTTAGTCATGCTAGTTCGTAGTTATGCTACAAGGAAGTGGAAAAATTATCCCTTACAGGTCTACTTTAATAAACCCTTTTAGGTGGTGGTGTTTTTTAAATCTGGAAACATCTTTACATTGCCTTCAGTCTTGAAAAATATTTTCACTGAATAAAGAATTCTCAATGGTGGTTTCCTTCAAGACTTTCACATTTCATTCTCCTCTGGTCTCCGCATCAGCCATTTATCAAACTCCCTGTATATAATGTGCTGTTTATTCTGCTCCTTTCAAGATTTGTTCTTTATCTTTGCCTGGATTTGGGCTTCTTTGTGTTTATTCCTCTTGGTGTTTGTTAGGCATTTTGTATCTGGAAATTTCTATCTTTAATTGGATTTTTAAAATTCTCAACTATCATTTCTTCAAATATTTTTTCTGTCCCATTCTCCCTCTGCTTTCCTTCTATGATTCCAATTATACATATGCTGGACAGTTTGAGATAATCCAACAGGGCCCTGAAGCCCTGCATTTTTCCCTTGAATCTTTTTTCCCCTCTATTTTTCACATTGCATAATTTCTATTGATCTACTTTCAAGTTCACTCATTTTCTCTCTTCTTTCTTCTCCATTCATCTACTAAGACCATACAGTGACTTATTAGTTTCAGATGCTGTATTTATTAGTTCTAAAATATCTATAATATTCTTTTTTATGGTTTCTATTTCACTGCTAGGATTTCCTCATTTTTCATTCATCAAAGGTATATTCTGTTTAACTTCATGGAGGAGAGTAAAAGCAGTCACTTTAAAACCCATGTCTGCTAGTTTCATTATCTGGTTCATTTCAGGATTAGGCCCAACTAATTTTCTTTTCTCTTGAAAATGTGTTTCTTATGAAAGAGAGCAGAATATGCCATCTCAAAATATGTCTTTTTGAAATAAGAATTATTTTGAGCTGACGGCTCCAGAGAAGCAGATACAAGAAAGCTTTCTGCCTTCCTCCATTTGCCTAAAAGCAGGACATACATTTATAAAGGCCTCTGTGCTCGCCCTCAACCAGTGAAGACAACTTTACAAGGTTTCAGCTGGGAAAGGCACCAAAGAAATTTACATAGCAAACTTGATTCATTTGCCTTCCAATGATGTGCCCCTACCAGAAACTCAAAGCCCTTTTTCTTGTGTCTTGTCAGTTCTCTAAAAATTTATTATATTTTGTTGAAGATGATGCAATGTAAGTAAAATTTCTAAGCCCCTTTGATATTTACTCATTCCCTATGTATACCTGATATATTTATAAAATAAACACAGGAATAAACTTTTTGTTTGTTTTCCTCTTGCTAATTTGCCTTTTGTTACAGGGGTCTGTCCCAGCTAAGAACACCGAAAGGCAGACAGAAAAATATTTTTCTTCCCTAAATCATTTTCTTCTTTCTTCATATATCAGATAATTTTGTATTGCACCTGGAATGTTAATTTGCAGACTGTTATTTTGGTTGTATAGAATTGCAAATTCTGTTTCTTGGGTAGCAGCTCTGGCCTCCACATCTTTTGTCTTTTTTTTTTTTTTTTTGATATTAGGAAGTGACACTTTTTTCTCGGCATATTATGGGGGTACAGATTTTAAGGTTTCAATAAATGCCCATTCCTCCCCCACCCCCCACAAGTCTGAGTTTCCAGCATGACCATCCCCCAGATGGTCCACATCTCACTCATTAGGTATGTATATATCTATTCCTCCCCCCGCCCCCCTCCCCCCTGCCCAATACCCTATTACTGTAGAGCCTATGTGTCCACTTAGGTGCTGCTCAGTTAATACCAGTTTGCTGGTGAGTATATGTGGTGACTGTTTTTCCATTCTTGGGAAACTTCACTTAGTAGTATGGGTTCCAGCTCTAACCAGGAAAATATAAGATGTGCTATATCACCGTTGTTTTAGAGCTGAATAGTACTCCATGGTATACATATACCACAGTTTATTACTCCATTCTTGGATCGATGGGCACTTGGGCTGTTTCCATAGCCTTGTAATTATGAATTGTGCTGTTATAAACATTCGAGTGCAGGTGTCTTTTTTGTAGAGTGTCATTGGATCTTTTGGGTAGATGCCCAGTAATGGGATTGCTGAATCAAATGGTAGATTCACTTGTATTGCTTTAAGATATCTCCATATTGCTTTCCACAGAGATTGAACTAGTTTGCAGTCCCACCAGCAGTGTGGGAGTCCTCCTCTGTTTCCGCATCCACGCCAGCATTTATTGTTTGGAGACTTTTTCATAAAGGCCATTCTTACTGGAGTTAAGTGATATCTCATTGTGGTTTTGATTTGCATTTCCCTGATGATTAGAAATGTTGAGCATTTTCTCATATGCTTGTTGGCCATTCTTCTGTCTTCTTAAGAAAAGTTTCAGTTCAAGTCCTTTGCCCACTTTTTAATAGGGTTATTTGAATTTTTCTTGCTGATTTTCGTGAATTCTAACTATATTCTAGTTATCAGTCCCTTATTGGATGCGTACGATGCAAAAATTTTCTCCCATTCTGTAAGTTGTCTGTTTACTTCCATGACTATTCCTTTGGCTGTGCAGAAGCTTTGTAGTTTGATCATGTCCCATTTATTTATTTTTGTTGCTGCTGGGATTGCCTTTGGGGACTTCGTTGCCTAGGCCGATGTCTAGGAGAGTGTTTCCAACATTTTCCTCTAGAATTCTAATAGTTTCATACCTTAGGTAAGTCTGTTATCCACCATGAGTTGAGTTTTGTGAGAGGTGAAAGGTGTGGGCCCTGCTTTAGCCTTCTACAAGTGGCTATCAAGTTTTCCCAGCACCATTTATTGAAAAGGGATTATTTTCCCCAGCGTATGTTTTTGTCTGCTTTGTCAAAGATTAGATGGCTATATGAGGATGGTTTTATATCGGGATTCTCAGATGTGTTCCACTGATCAATATTCCTATTTTTGTGCCAATACCATATTGATTTAATAACTACAGCTTTCTAGTATAGTTTGATATCTGGCATATTAATGCCTCCCATTTTGTTTTCGTTGCCTAGAATTGCTTTTGATATTCGGGGTCTTCTTTGGTTCCATAAGAGTAAAATTATTTTTTCTATATCTGTGAAGAATGGTGATGGGATTTTAGTAGGTATTGCATTGAATCTGTAGATCAGTTTGGGTAGTATAGACATTTTAATGATGTTGAGTCTGCCGATCCACGAACATGGAATGGATTTCCATCTGTTTACATCCTCTGCTATTTCCTTCCTCAGTGTTTCATAGTTCTCCCTGTAGAGGTCTTTTAACTCCTTGGTTAAGTATATTCCTAGGTACTTTAATTTCTTTGTTGCTATTGTGAAGGGAATTGAGTTTTTGATTTGGTTCTCAATTTGATGTTGTTGGTATACAGGAATGCCTCTGATTTCTGTGTATTTATTTTGTATCCTGAGACTTTACTAAATTCATTGATCAGTTCTAGGAGTTTCTTGATTGAATCTTTAGGGTTTTCTAGATATAATATCATGTCATCAGCAAACAGTGAAAGTTTGATCTCTTCGGCCCCTATCTGGATACCTTTTAATTCCCTTTCCTGTCTGATTGCTGGTAGCCAGGACTTCCACACTATGTTGAATAGAAGTAGAGATAGTGGGCAGCCTTGTCTGGTTTCAGTTCAAAG